ATGTCAACCTAAAAATATTCATGAATACCAGGGACGCGTTAGCCAAAGTGGGCGACGTTTCCCAATTGAATTGATGTCCCGGGTATACGCCAAACAAATGGGAAGTATGTCTGTGATGGTCATCCTTCTCGCCGGGTTGTTCTTCCATCCATTCCATTAATTGTCCGAACGATCCAATCCCTGGCCATAACAGCTTATCCCTCTGACCCGATATCCGATCCCTGAACTCTTTGTCGACTCCCAAAATATCCGCCGCTTTCACGTAATTTGTGTACAAATCCCATACAATCTCTTGATTATAGCTAACACCGTCCTCATGGGGTCCGTGCTCTGGCGACCACCCCTTAAAGACCACCAGTTTTCCCAACTGTTCTTTAGTGCCGTTCGTCACAACCTTCAGCTGCTCGTCCCAGAACTCGGACACCTCTTTCAGGTAGGGATACGCCACGTCCTTTAGAAATGTAGTATTCAATCCGAACGCGTAATGTTCCCAAAAATGTTGCGCATACCTGTGCTCGATATAATTTTTTCAAAATAAATGACCTTGTTACATAATTGATGCATGTGATCGTTTGACCAATTAGGAGTTTGGCCTACTCACTGTTTTCAGTTATAAAAATTCTAAATGCTACCCATACTGACTATTGAACTCATTAAAATCATTATTGTAACATTTCACATATATAAATCTATTTAAAAATATGCATTTAATGACCCCATTCATTAATATTAATTTAAAATATAAATATCTGAAAATTTGAGTAAAGGATATTTATGTTTTTATGGGATACGTAGAACACTTTCCAAAACCTACAAATTAGGTCAAACAGCTCGTAACCCATTATTTAAGATGCACACTGTTTGTCGCCATACATACCACGCGGTATCCGTCTTATCCCATTCATCCCATAATAAAGCCATTCCTCCGTATATATTGTGCTGACCGGCAGTGGCCACACCTTTTGACGAGTGTTTGCCCTCCGGTGTCAGTAATCCTTTGGCGGCTCGCGTTTGTTTGCGCCACGGATTCAATAGACTCCGAACCATATTGAACAGGGGCAAATGACATTCACCAAGGTTAGCCGTCTCCACCGGCCAGTAGTTCATTTGTATATTCAAGTCGGTGTGATAGTCCGCATGCCAGGGCGGGCTATTATTGTCGTTCCATAGACCCTGGTAATATATATAGCATAATAACAATCAGCATGTTTATATCGAAACTATTATTGAATAAAATACGTTAATTATATAAAATTAATTTTACCAAGGGCATTTCAATAAAATATTTTGCGACTGACCTGTAAGTTAGCCGGGAGACTGTTTCGCGACGACGATATCATGAGATACCTTCCGAACTGATAAAACATTTCCTCAAAGTCCGGATCAAATGTAGTGACGGCCGCGACCTTCCGCTTAACAGTCGGTAACGCCGTCTGTTGTGCCGACGACTGACCCAAATCCAGGTTCACTCTATTGAATAACGCGTGGAAGTCCGACAGGTGTTCCGCCCGCAGGCTATCGTACGACTTTTCGGCGGACTTCCCGACCCACTGGTTCACGTGAACAGCCGGGTCTTCGCCGGACTTAAACTTCTTCGAGTCGTCGAAGACATAGTCAGTACCGGCGCTAACGATGAGAGTCAGGGCGTCGCAGCCGTTAAACTCAATGACAGCGTCGTTCACTTTGAGACTTCCGCCGGTGTTTTGAACCAACACTTTCCACGCAAAGCGCAAATCATTCACTAGTTTGCCGTCCACTGCGATCGTATTGTTCACCGCATTGGAGGTAACATTATGGATGTCCAGCAGTTCTATGCGACCGGTGTATGCCTTTCCCTTGTCGGCGGTCAACCGGCCGACCAATACTTCCGACACGTGACTCACAAAGTATTCCCGTTTGTATTGAACGCCATGCGCTTCGTATTGGACGGTCGACACGGCGTCCCCGATATCCAGCGCTCGCCTATAATTTGTGTTGTCTTTATGATCGGGTAAATCGACGACAATATTACCAAAAGTCTGGTAATTGCCAAAACCGGGGCCCCAATAGTCTTGGGACGGGTTGTCATCGCCCGTCCATAAAGTTATATCATTCATATTTATTCTCTCTTTATCTGTAATTTTTACGAAAGATATAAATACCCGGGATAGTTTTTAAAACAATTTTATATATAAATTAAACTTTATTATTAATTTTAAAAATATTTTTTATGACTAACCCGGGTGTCCATATACAAGTCCACCTATCCTTCCATTACCGATAGGCAAGGCCTCAGTCATACCATCAGCGGCCGGACTTTCATACCAAAACACTTTGTCACTCGCCCGGACACATGTGACAAATACCTGGATAATAAATAGCAATAGTATCCACCTCATTTTTACTATATGAATTAACTTAAATTCAAAGAATTGTATTCTCATTTATATATTATTTTCATCAAGGTTATAATATAAGAAGGCAAAAGCTGAATTTGAACATCTGCCTATCAATTCAAACTGTAACTTAGGCAGTATTTCATACAATGTTATATTGAAACAGTGAATCTTTTATTTATTTTTTATTTTATTTAATTAAAATATAATTATTTAATAAATATTTAATTATAAACATAAATAGTTATAATTTATTAATAAAAAACTATTGTTTTAAACAATTAAATAATTATAATTGTGACTTGGATTTTATTTAAAAGATTTTCATTAAAAATGAGATGTTCCCATTCAGCTTTTGGCTTTTCAATGATATTATCTATGAACATATGAGCATATTCACACTATTGGATAATAGTTCAGAATTATGATTAAATTCTAAAAGGGTAATGGGGTTGCCAAACCTCCGGATTTGTCCAGGAAGCTCCAGGAATAAAGCTCTGACTATGGATTTCAGTTTGAGGTATGACCTGAATGTAGCAATTTCTAGGAAATAAATTTAGCCTAATTAAATTTTATATTTTAGAAATTTTGTGAAAGTAGTTTGTAGTTTACAAATGAGTTTAATGATTATAATAATATATATATTTATAAATATGATGAGAGTTTAAACTTTATCAATAAAACCTAGAGTCTACTAACAATATTTGAGATAGGAATTTTTCAATAATTTTATTTTTGTTACAATAAATATGGCATTGACTTAAATAAATTTAAATTATTCAAGTTTATTACTATGGTAATAATTAGTATTTAACTCTACAATTGTGAATCATAACAAAAATGTGTGATACACTGAATAAAGTTATTGGCATTATAATGTATGTGTCCATAAATTAATTAATTAATCTTTACTTGACTAAACGGTATTATCAATAGTTGAACTTATCGATAATAAAAGGAATAGTGACTATTAAATGAACTTGGGTATGTATATCCGTGTAAATATAGTTTTTATATCCAATATATATTTAATATACATTATTAGTCATTATTCAATAAATGCCCCAATTTTGCACTGAACACAAAAACTTTAGAAAATAATATTATATTTGATTAAGAAAATGTTGAAGTGGACTGGGAGCAAAAGTATGTAATTTTTCACTAAACATTTAATTTATATCAAATCAAAATATAAAAATAAAATTCTCAAAAATAATCAACCATCAATGTTCATTAGAAATGATAACTTGGTGGCATAATATAATTAGTATTGTAAACGATTTCAAGTTTAAATAACCCATTTTTATTTTATCATAAACAGTTCACTATATTTATTACTAGCCATAGTGAGAAACTAAAGTATTCGAATATTAAAATTTTTATTTTATATATTTAATAATGATAAACAATCTTTTATTTTGAAATAATCAAGCTGCTAATTTATTTGGGAGTCCACGTGACCATCACGGTCATTTTCCCTGAATTATCACCTCTGGCCAGAGACAATTGAATGCTTTTATGACTATCACCATGAGCCAATAACTCGGTGATCAACAGGGAGGCGCCACCTCCGAATGTCTAATCAAATATTAATATAATTTAAAATAATTTATAAACATTATAATTATACAAAAGGTCAGCGCATTTAATTACAAAATGGCGTACATTTTTGCCGGATCCCTGTTCCCAGAGTTCAAAGGTCACGCGGGACTCCTGTACCCATTGGAAGTTGTGTGAGCCCGTACATACCACACCCCATATGGGGTTGGTAGAGGTGGGTGCCACTTTAGTTTGACACGTGACACACGTTGTACGATTTACAATAGGTAGCTATAGAGATAAAATAAAAAATATAATGTCAAGTTCATATAGACTGGATATAGATTATATGTGATGAGTTATCAGGGGAAAGGGATCTCAGTATTTATATACCTCTACAGTTGTGGATGAATTTTGTAGGCACACGTCAGCGTAAGCTATTAAACAAGGATTAAATGTTAAATTAATATTTTAATTGTATGAGCCGGATCAATTTTATAATATTATATCTCTTACCGGAAACGGCTTTGGCCAGGGAGGCCGAGCTCATCTCGATGTCAATGTAACCCAATTTAATGGGAGCCACACATTTGCCACCAATGCACACCTGTAGCAATATTATAATGTAGTTAGATAGTATCAATCAATTTTTATAATTATTAGCTTTTACAATGTAATCTAGTCATTTTAATTAACTAAGTTATAATTTATTATGTGACTGTAAATAATATTTAGATATTTAGATTTTAGATATTTTTAAATAATAATGTATTATATTTTAATAGCTAGGTAGTAATAGATTCAATTGTATTTCAAATAAGTTTACTATAATAGTTACATACATTTTTAGTTGCATTCAGCCCAGGGCATGCCAACCCCTCGGACATATTGTGGTGGTAGACGGTACCGTGAACATTACAATCTAGCTCACAATTCTGGTTCATATACTGTGTGCCCACCGGTTCCACGTCCACGTGATGAAGGGACCGACACTTTGCCGCGGCTAACGGGTCGTCCCCGAGAGCTACCTGTGCGACGGCCAGGGATGCGACGAAACACGCGAATAAAGTATTCATTTTTAAATATTTTTTAATAACAATTTATTTATTATTTTATGTTTAGTACAGCTTTTATACCATTTCTCAAGTAATTATGAATTTGTTGTTTAAATTAGCATGTGCATTTTTTCACATAGATAATCAGTAGAAAATAATGTTTTAAGTGTAAATACATATTTCATGGTTAAAAGGAAAGTCGCTTAAATGATCTGGTATCAGTTGATTGTTTAATAGAAACTGTATTAATATGTTTGATATGTGTACTGACCTAAACAGATAATAAATCTGGTATATATGGTACTGTATAAACTAAATATGTATTTACGGATATGTTGTATTAATTATGAAATTTTTGTGAAGATTAAGAAATATCTGCTAAATAAATAATCAAGGTTCATGATTGCGCATTGTATTTTTAAAAATTAGAAATACAAAGTTTTTTAAATTATAAATTTTATATAGTTGCATTAGTTATTGAAAAAATAATTTAATTTACAGCTCATAGTACAGTATAAGTTATTAAACATTTAGTTTTATTAGATTTAAAATTTAATTTTTAAATTGAACCACCTAGTATAAGTGTTTCCCGTTAAGTTTCACTAATATCATCTCATATTCTACATCTTAGACGCCCAGATATGGTTTCCAGAGACCAACTAGTGATGTATGCATTTACAATATATTATTATTTAGGCTGAGTATACACAACACTAGTATTTTAAAGTTTATAGTATAGATTAAAGATTAAGGTAGCATTCAGTTAAATACTCATGAATATTATACTGAGTATTATATTATACATGAGTATTATTGCTTAGTTTTTCATATATGACTTACTTTCTCAAATATTGTTATTGTATGTTTAGAAATCTCTTACGAATTTGTATTTTAATCATTTATATATCATTTTTTGTTTAATAAATAAAAATGTTTTCAATACAAATCTTAGTCACATTTAAATCAGAAAATATTAGTGTTTTGAATAGTTAAAATTTTTAATATTATTATAAAACACTATTTTGGGGATTTTTAAAATTTTGAACGNTTTTTGTTTAATAAATAAAAATGTTTTCAATACAAATCTTAGTCACATTTAAATCAGAAAATATTAGTGTTTTGAATAGTTAAAATTTTTAATATTATTATAAAACACTATTTTGGGGATTTTTAAAATTTTGAACGTCTATGTTCTACATCATTATATTTTCCTATTTAAAATAATAGTTGTTTAAATAATAGATTCAATAGAATATAGTTTATAAATGAATAAAAATTTTATTTTGAAAATTATTTTCGATTTGGGTTATAATATGAATATTTATTAAATTGCAATATAATATTCAAAAGATAAATACATTAAAATTATTACTAGACACGTAATAAAACTACTTTATATTAAAAACATCGACAAACAATTTAATTGCAAGCTACAACTAGCTATGAGTTATAAAAATTAATATTAATTTGAAAAATTACTATAAATCATAATGTCAAATTTATGACTCATAAAAAACTAGTGTTGTTGATATAATATTAAACTATTCAATGCAAATATCGCTAGTTGACCAAAATGGCCTAGCCCAATACACACAGTATAATTACTTATTGCGCTAGTCATAATTAATGGGAACAAAAATAATTACCGGAAACTAAACGCTAAAAAATTATAATTAACATGCTACATTTTATTAGGCTGCTAGCTGGTAATTGTCATACTTTGACAACTTGTTATACCGTGGCGTAATGTCTGACCAGTATATATTGCCTTTGAGCATGACCATTATATCAGTTATATAGCGATCTAGGGAGGGGACATTATGTAGTCTCAACATATCCCCATACTTTATGACCATGGTCCACGCCCTGTCGATCATGGTCACTATTTTATCGGCCGCCGTTTGAGCGTCGCATTTGTATTGACACATTACGATGTAGATGAAGGTGTGTTTGCCCTGGTGCTGCAAAATCTCCTTTTTGCTCGAGTACAAATCATTCACGTAGTAATTGTGTCGGCCAGCCCATAGATTGAACATGGTCCACGCGTCATCAGTGGCAATTTCGGGATATTCATCAGGGTCAAACCCGGTCGAGACAAATTGAAACATTTGCAAAATAGGGTAGCCAGCGTCGATGATCCTATTTGTTTTGCAAGATTAAAATAATCTGATTTAAAAACACAACTAGTATTGACACAATTTTTACCATTCTACCATTAGTTAATATTGAGATTAATGTTTAATTTAATGTAAGTTTAATTATTATTATTATTTTATAAATTCAGATTTGAATGAGTAAACTCCGCTTGAATGTTAGATTTCCTATGAATAGCTACTATTTTGTCATAGATTTTACGTTTGGAACTTGAGCCGGTTTATTGTTGACTATTTTTAAACTGGTTATTGGATTTTAGATTCAACTCAAGAGTATGAAACTCAGATAAATTACATTTCATCTGATACGTTAGATCATATTTTTATGTTACCAGGTTACAAAACTATGTTTTTAAGTGTCATCATCATAATTTTTATGTCTAAATTATAAAAATAACTACCTTGATAATTTTGAATGTGATTTTTAAATTGTTAGCATAATTCTATGTAAAGATTTATCAGAGTTTCATAAACTAAAGTAATTTCTAAAATACAACAATCTGTTGATAAATAATAAAAAATAAACCGGTACCAGTTTACTATGTCCATGACATTATGTCATACCTATTTGGTTCGTACTCATCGATTGTGTAAATATGATGGCCATTCTTAACCTTGTCCGTTTCAGCATAGAAACTCAGCCAGTTCATGCACCATGTATCGTGCAACTGAATAAATTTCTCCGGAAGTGCCTTGTTCATTCTGACACGAAATTCATTATAAAATAGATCCATAAAGTCGGTGCCAGACGAGTGGCGATCCGTTATTTTTTGTTCCCATTTTCTAATTATTGACATTTTTTGTGTTAGAAATTATAATAATATTTTAATCCACAATATATTCATTAATATTTTATCCTATTATTAAATTAAGTTTATTTTATTTATTAAGCGCATATTTATATATAAACTTTCAACTAATTCAATTGAATGTTAAATTTATCAATTTGTTAATGTTTTTACAGTTTACCTTTAGTTGTAAACACTGTTTAATCACTAATGTTATAATTATACCAGGCTAGTGGCCAGACAAATGATAAGTGAAACTGTACACATACCTCACCCAATACACCAGCTTAGTTGTCTGGCTCTCAAGAAAATCATCCAGGAGAAAAATGAACACGGCCCATATATGTAACGCCATAAAAGCGTCCTTGTTCGTCATATTGGCAAACGTGATGTCCGTAAAGTCAGTCAAGTCTTGAAGATCCTTAATGGGCTCGCCTTTCACGTCACTCACCAGGGTCTCCAGCAATTGCCTGGCGTCCGGCACGTGTTGGTTATAGTCCATGCGCTCCACATTCACCCCACGTATCTCATAGGCCAGTAATTGGTCGTTCAGATCGTCGCGCCGATAAGTGAGCGAGTTGCTTTTAAGATCTGCCATGGTGGTGTGTGTTGCTCGCTTATTATCTATATATGCAACTCTATTAAAATCCTCAAATTATAACGTTATAACCTAATAGGACATTCATAAATATTAAGCAATGCTAGTTATGTTAGTTAAAAAATAAGCCAATACTGTACAGCATTCATTGCCATAGTGTAACACTGGGTGTCATTTGCTTATGTTTTAACATTAGTAAATGGCACTATTTATCACTTTTGACATTCAATGGTGTACAGTATATTCGATGAAAATATTTATGGAGTTGTACCATGGTCTGTGTTACACACGTAACAATTAAATCACATATTTATAAAAATTTTCATATTACCTTAATTTCAAATTTACAATAGAGGAATATGTAAATTTTTATAAAATATTTAAATATTCAAAATAATGACTTCTGGCTCGAAATGCATCCCATTATAAACCCTAACCAATCCAATCGGCGTTGACCAGCATCAGGTGTCTTATCCAGATTGGCTAATCCAACTGAAGTAGATAGGGTTGGGTAGCCGGGAGGAAGCCCTGGCAACTCCGCTCTTAATGTGTGTTTTATAACTGTCAACGAATAGCGTTTTTAGTGCCTTTCTGTTTCTATTTATAAATGATTGATCGTGCAACTGCTTGGTAGGGCCAGGGTAGACTCGTTATGTAGTTCTCTTGGTGTTCACTCCGATTATACATGTGGTTTAGGTCCTTGATAATCACTGCGTAAAAACATGTGTGTATTTTTCATTGCAAACTGTACAGATTTGTATACATACGATGGTAATTTGCATTCAAAATATCAAGGATCAATTATATACTATGAACGCAATGATTATGTTATTTATAGAGTTTGAATTGAAAAATTCGTACATCTTTTTTGCACCGTTAGTATCAATTATTAAACAAGCATTGACAAACTATCAATACCTTAATAATCATTAATTTTTGTTATGTTTAATACGACCACAAACTGTATGTCCACTAAAATAGTAGTAATTATATAACTTTTTATTAGTTTTCTGACCATGTGCATAACTTATTCATTAAACTATTAAAATATTTTTTGCGTTAATAACTAATATCTGTATTATCAGAATAAAATGTCTAATTTATTTTTCTATTTAATACAACAAATCTTGAACTTCAAAATCAAAGTAAATATTAAAACCTTTGAATTGAATTAAAATAAAACTCTTATTTTCTAACGATTGTATAGTTTTTGTCATTAATGGAAAAGTTGAGCCAAAAAAAGGGTTGATTTAATTGTTGGAGATTATTCTGAATCAATAGGTCAATTGATAGTATACCATAAATAAAAATTATGAATCATATTTTTAATTACTTAAATAATATACGATATTTTAATTAGTAAGTCTTTTTTATATGTAATAAATAAATAAAAATTAATATCTACTAAATCATTGTTGCACTTATTATTAGTCACATTTATATTAATTTAATAATACTTAAAGTAACAATTAAACTTAAATAATTAAAATAAATAA